GTTTTCAACTGACTGGCTGCTACTCATCCCCAAAAGATGGGAGAGGTATAAAAACACTGAGCACAATTCACTTGCTGTGTTCATATTAAACGATTGCTGAGCTAGCCCCAGGAAAGTGTTAGGTACTCGAAAGAAAGGGAAAAAACCCCATGAAACCAGAACTCCAGAAGTGAAGAAGTGGAAGTCATGACACACTGTGGATGCCTTAACTAGATTTTTTAAAACTATACTGAAGGAGTTCTAGCAGAGATTTTTATCACTCAGTCTGCACAGAAGGACATTGCACCATGTACACGCAAGTGACAGGTGCTGATTTGTCAGCTATAGCTTTGCTTGCTAGTTCAGGTATAACTTTATTTTTCAGTGTATTATACGCAAGTAGTTCAGGTCAAGAGCTACTTTTGTTTCAATTCCCAATTCAGCAAGAAAGGCTTTCCTTCTTAGTCTATGAACAAAGCCAGAAATGTAGAGGGATCCAGGATTTTCAGTTCTAAAATCTTGTATAAAAGATGCAGAAAACACCTGGAAAGATGTCTCTCTGCAGATATTTTTCTTTGGTAGTTGAAATGTGAAAGTTACTAAACTTTTCTTTCCCCCTCCTCCTCCTTTACCTCCACTTTCTCCTCCTCTCAGGTCGCACAGGAGATCTGGGTCTGTGAGAAGCAGACAATCACCAAGTGGCAAGGGGACATCCTTGCCTACAAGGAGCATCTCAAGTCGAAGCTGGTGGATGAGGACCCTCAGCTCACCAAACGGACCCACAACGTGTGAGCTGAGGAGCCCCAGCCAGAGCTCTCTGCAGGGCTGGCCGTGGCCACGCGACTCGCCCACCCGCCGGCGGGAGTGGGACTGCTGCTCCCACTGGCTGTGTTCTAGGATTGCTGCAATACTGCTTCCCCTCGACTTGCCTTGCACCTCTGTGTCTGGACAGAGCTCTTCTCTCCCGATCTGGCTGCATTTGGGCAACCGTTTCCATATTTAGATGATGTCCCATCCGAGCCAGGCCTTGGCATCTAATGGCCTGGGGTCACGGCAGTGGCTGTCAGAGTGTCCAAGCTGCAGTGATATACAAGTGGAGACCCCAGCCCAGCTTCTCCTGCCTCTTCCTTCCCAATTTCTGCTTCAGTTTAGATACTTCAAACTCCTCTGGCCTTGGTTTGTTTTTAACTATTATTTAACACTGTAATTAACAGATCTGCCTGAGATTCCATCAGTCAATAAAGAGGGAAGAACAATCTTGTCTTGTTTTGTGAGCTGTGGTAGTTGGGGTGTGCTGGGGTGAGTCAGCAAGTGCTGAGCTTTGAGTGAGGATCAGCCTGTCTTGCTAAAGGTTCAGTTCCTCAGTACAACCAAAGCTGTGGCCAGAACCTGTGGGGTATGTGCAGTGGTGAGTACTGAGCTCTGGAGGCACTGAGCAGTGAGCAGGATCCTCACATCTGGGACCTAGGATCCTCACACCTCTGCTCAGCTGGAGTGAGTGCCAGATTTACAGCAGGTGTCAAGGGGGAAGAAGCCACAGACACTTCTGTTGTAGATGACAGACACAGCTTGAAAGGATTCTGAAGACTGAAGGTAGAGACAGAATGTAGATCTGTGGAGCACCAGTGTGTGTTCTCTCCAGTGTAGTGTCACAGGTGGCTTTTTCTCTAATAATGAGAATCATTTAGGATTTTTGGACTATGAATTAGCTATTTGTTCCTCGCAGGTTTCACTAAAGACAAATCAACTAAAGTTGGTTGAACTTTCATTTTTGTTCTCAATAACAGATTTTTGGAAGAGTTGGTGTTTAAACTTCACCATGTGCCACAGAAGTGTGAATAAAAGAAATTTTTCATTTATTATTGAAGTGGTTAAAAGGTACTGAAGAAAAAGGTAGCAAATCAAACCAAATAGCTTTTTTGGATAATGAGTTATCATTTTAAACACTACAAACACATGAGAATGGCTGCACTGGTCACGTGAAAGGTTCCTGTAGCCCAGTGGCCTGTCCAGCAGCATATGCTGCTAGGCGAATGGAAGGACAAATGTAGGAGTTGTGCTCCCTTGCAGTGCCTTCTCCAGTGCCAACTGACTGGCTTTGACTTTTTGAGCAGAGTATTTCCTTGGTTTTGATTTCCCAAAAGGGCCATCCAAACTGTGACTGCCTCTGAGGAAGCTGTGTGTCATGCATTGGACAAATATCAGAATGGGAGCTGCTTCCAGGAGATAAAGCAGAACCCTGTGGTTTTTACTGTTTCTAGCAATGATCTGAGAGGAGAAAAAAAAAGTATTTTCTGAGAAAATAATGCAGATTAGTATAAATGCTTCCAAGTTAGTTCTGCAGAAAAGTCTAGATGGCAGTGAAAAGTCACTTAGATTCAGAAGTTATCAGGTGGAGTGAGGGAGTAAAAGCAATCCACAGGGAAGTGATTACTCTAAAGGCTAATGGGTCACAGAAGTTAAACAAGAATAGATCAATGCATGTCTGTTTGTTCTGCCCTCTAGGTTGTAGAAAGATGGTGAGTTGGCAAGGGTTGCAAAGTAGCTCTGAGAATGGTGAGGTCAGAGTCCTGCCTGAGGCTAGAGCTGTTCATCCTACTCTTCCTTATTCTTACCAAAAATTTGGCAACAATTCTTAACACCACTTTCAGATCTGGTGGCAATAATAAATGCAGTATACAATCTTACACTGAGTTCTTTGGGTATGATGAGTCCTGAGAAGGGCCTGGGGACACTGGCATGGCAGGCAGTAGTTGGAGCACTCTTGTAGCTCCTGCAGCTAACAAGAGAGCTGTGTTACCTGTCTGCTGCTGCAAAGGGAGAGGAACTTCTTGGGTGAAGGCATGTCTCTGATTTACAAACAAGGACCACAGATCGATGTTCAAAGCTGCCCTAGAGGTCACAGTAAAATGAAATCTGTTCATGTGCTTTATCAGCCTTGATTTAATCTGGATTTGCTCTGTGGTGACTGTTGAACTGCACCAAAGCAGCTGTGACAGGCAGATGTCCTGGAGCACTGATTTACATGAGGCAGCCATGAGCTGGGGCAGTGGCACTTCGAGCAGTTTCAGCTGGGACTTTTCTGGTCTTACACAAAAGCAAAACTACAGATAAATTACAAGAATTGCTCCTTAGTTACTAGGATGGTTGTTTCTGTGAAAGAAGTGGCCTGTAGTCTAAAAATGAGGTTGGCCCCTAACACAGCCACAGTCAGATGTGGCAGATAGTCCATCAGGTGCAGGTTTGTGAGATTGCCCTGTTTTTGTGCAGCGCCACAAAACAGCGCCAGGATGAGTCAAGCCCAGCACACAGCAGCATGGACAGCCTCCAGCACATGCAGTTTAAGGAAGAAGATGGTAATTCCCCAAATCTGACTGTACTGCTCAGTGGATGAGCTTCCATCCTTGTTATGTGAAAGGCCCCTGTGCTTAATGCCAAGCAACCAGTTAGTGCCTTCCTTCTAACTAAAACTTTTGTCAGCAACACCAGCTGTGAATGTATCACTGCCAGTGGCAGACACAGCAACATCTGGGGAGGGATACAACAGCCCCCAGCTCCTTTGGCATGAGAGGCCCCCTGTGTGGTGTGACCTGAGACCAAGGTGACACATCTCCCATGGCAGTGAGGAGTATCCCTCAACACAAAGGTCTTACCTGTTCACAGCTCTGCAGATCAGGGAGTGCTGGAGGGTCCCTCAGAGGGGCAAGCCCTGTGCTGTTCCATGTCAAGGCACAGCCTCTTAAAAAGCACAAGTGGGGATGTCACTTGCTCCTTACTCCCAGTATGAGTCACTCCCATTCCCAGATTATCCCACTACCCCATGTCTTCAAACCCCTTCTCCTTCACAAATGTGCTGATGCGACCATTCCGACCTGTCCCACCTGACCACTAATGTTTCAGTTCCTGGGAGAAAGAAGCCTCTCTGTGACACTGATCCCCCCCTTTGTCACTGTGACAGTTACTTGCACTAGGGGAGGATGTTCAGGTGCCTCCCCACAAGGACAGGCCAAGAATAGAACAATTCAACTGTGAGCTGCACAAGCAGTAGCAGAGTCACTGGTTGATTAGGCGTCCTGAACTCAGTCCTTGGAAGATGTGATTTGCTCAGGATGTGCCAGTATGACACGTACTCCTGAGAAGGAGACTGTGCATGGCAGCACAAAGACCCTGGTGTCCTGACCCCAAAACAATCATTGTCCTTTTATGAAATGGCTGTTGTGGTGCCTGCTGAAAGGCTTCCTTTTCTCTCCAAAGGGCAGAAAACTTTCTGTTTTGTTCACTTGTCTACCGTGTTGCTGCACATTTTTCCTGGCTTAGCCTAATTCCTGTGTCATATTTACCCTCACTAGTGTGATTACTGGTTTCCAAGATAGATCAAATCTATGCTTAGGGTGTCAGCCCTCCAGTGCCTCCCTCCTGGCAGTCCAAGCACTGTTGTGTGCAGCAGGTAAGATCCCAAGAGCAGGCTAACTGAGACAGAGAGGGGAATCTGGCTGGTGGGGTGTTTATAATGCCGTTGTTCCACCACTGGACCAACATTCCCTCCAGTTACTAAGTTTCCATTAGCAGCATTACCTGTTCCATACCAGAGATGTGGCTCCATATCAGAGATGTTCCACTCATTTGATTCTGCAGTATACTGGGTACTCCAATTCACACCCTTGCATCAAAGCAGGATTCCTCCTTTCTCCAAGCTCCTGGTGGACCTGGGAATAGCTCTTCTCTGGCAATTCTGTCCCCTGTGAATCAGATTCTTCTGCTCTTGCCCCCCTCTTTGCCCAGATCACCCTCAAATGTTTTCTTAGGTCTGAAAGTTTAATTCAATCTGTCACTTCCAAGCTCCTCTCAGGCCAGCTGCCCTTCACATAGTGCAAAGTGCAATCATCAGCCACACATGTGTACTCCTCCTGCTCCTTGGGAACTGCATCTGAAGCAGGTGCGGCTCTGCTGCCTCTCCTATATAACCAGCCCCATGGCATCTGCTGGTTGCTCTGTTGATGTTTGCTTTATTGTAGACTGAGATGAGCACAGAACCTGGGAAGAACCGTGGTCATGCTCCCACTTCAGGGGACAAGAAGCCTAAGAGGAAGCTTAAGAAAAAGGAAGCCTATTCAATCTATATCTACAGAGTACTGAAGCAGGTAAGTGTTTCTTTTCTACTAGAAACTGCTTCATCCATAAAGTTGCTTCTGTTTATTGCAAGTTAACCCTACAAAGAGGAAGGAAGGAAAATCTGCTTTTTAGTGAGATGAAAATAAAAGGGTGAGTGAGTACAGGAGAGCCCTAGCTGAGGCCCAGAAGCTGGGAGGGGGATTCTGAGTGTAGGAGGCAAGAGATGGATCTAGACCAGAAAGGGTTTCCTAGAGAGAACAAGCTCTGGTGTATGGCTCAGCCTGAAAAAGTAATTGAATTAGTAATCGAGTCAGTAGGTCAGGTACAGCTGCTGCTGGCCCTGTGAGTAGGTACTAAAATATCTCTGGTGATTTTTGATGGGGAGATGAGAAAAAGAATTTCTGGAGGTAGCCATGAGCTTTCTAGGCCATAGTTGTCAGTATCAGCCTATAGGCAGGACTTGGAGACAGGGCATTTCCACCCCTCACAGCCTTGTTTTCCAGGGGGCTTGTGTGGAGGTTCCCACCAGCACAGTCTCAAAGTTGCTGTAACATTATGGGAGCCTCTCTTCAGTCTAACGCAAATATCCCATGACTTGAGACCCTCAAGGTGACAACTGTGGGTTCCTTTGTGGTACAAGTGCCCTGTCTGGGATGAGAAGTGGGGCCCTACTTTTCTGGAGTGGCTGTGGCCTTATGCTCCCTCCAGGGCAATGAGTGTGTGAGACAGTGTTCGGTTATCACCTGGCAGGTGCACCTGGACATTGGAATCTCTTCCAAGGCTATGAGCATCATGAACTCCTTCATCAATGACATCTTCGAGCGACTGGCCTCGGAGGCCGCGCGCCTGGCTCAGTACAACCACCGCAGCACCATCACCAGCCGTGAGGTGCAGACAGCAGTCAGGCTCCTGCTGCCCGGAGAGCTGGCCAAGCACGCTGTCTCTGAGGGCACCAAGGCTGTCACCAAGTACACCAGCAGCAAGTGACCAGCTGGACCCCAGTGAGACCAGCCCAGGCCATGCTTCCTGTGGAGTCCTCCAGGAGCTGTTATACAGTCTTACTCATCTGAAAAAGCAAAACTTCCTGTTGTCTGCCTGCAAATAAAAATAAAAATGTATAAAAGCACAGATCTTGTCTTTATTCTTTGCTTTGTAAATTGTGATGCAGTTTGAACTGTGGCTGTGGGGATTGTTTGGTTGGGCTGGGAGAATAGCTGCTGTTTGAAAGCAACCACATACGACTAGGAGCAAGGATCACAGGGCATGCCTGGGGAGAGCTAGAGTCCAGGGAAGCAGAGTGGGCTCTCCACAGTTCTCCAAACATTCCAGTTTTCAGATTCCTGACTGCTAAAAGCTTCTGTTCTCTTTGCCTTTTCTGTTGTTCTTAAAGTGCTTTCTTACTGTGCTGGGTCTCTTTGCCAAGGCCATCAGTTTGTACTGGTCAGAGCAGTGGCTGAATTCTTCTGGGTCAGTGGGGTGCAGTTAGCAGTGGGTAGAGGGTTTTTCTTATATTTATAAACTGTTTTCAAAGGTGTTTCATTCTGTTTTTTCTGGGGGGTTGTGGGGTTTTCCATTGATTTTTGTTTTGGTTTGTGCTTGTTTGTTTGGGGTTTTTTTTCTCCTGGTGAAAACTTTCTGCCTTTTGGGTAGAAACTAAGGCAGAAACAAAATAAGCTGGACTGACAGGAGAAACAAACAGTGTTTTCTTTTTAGGACTTGTGCCCATCATCTTTCTTGCTTCCAGCGACTTTGAAGAGACAACTTTGTCTTGCCCAGTTATAAACTGGGCTAGGACTGAGTGTCCTGTGTTCTACCTTGGACCATCATGTTAATGACTGGTCCTGGCTGCCTTTCATTGTATCCCCCAGGTGCTTCCTACAGGAGTGATCCAGGGCCCTGCAGGAAGTATGAGCAGGTTCTGTCTGTTCAGATGGAGCCCAGGCAGTCCACAGGGCTGAGTGCTGTGTCTAGAGCAATGGTGGAGGCCATGCCCTCCTGGGCTGTAGTGGTACAGCCTAGCTACCCTGTAAGCACATCATCTTCTTGGGTTGTGTGGGTCTGTCCATGGTGTTCCTGCACAAATATGCCACCCCAGGGTCTGTGGTGGAGTGAAGGAAAAATGTGGGCTGTGTTCTGGGTAGAGATGTGGAGGTCATAGAATAATATAGAATAGTTTGGGTTGGAAGGGATCTTAAAATCCATTCAGTTCCACTCCTTTGCTGTGGGCAGGGACACTGTCCACTGCATCAGGTTGCTCCAAGCCCCATCCAACCTGGCCTTGAGCACTTAGGGCATCTCTAAGTTCTCTGGGCAACATGTTTCAGTGCCTTTTGCCAGGTTTGTGTTGGGACTGGATGCCTGGTTCTATGGACTTCTGGTGGCAACCAACATTGGGGTAGGAGTACCAAGAGGAGCCACAGCCGTGTTAAGTCTGAGGTGATAGTATGTGAGGCAATCCTGGATTTCACAAGATTGTGAGGTGATGCTGAGTCTTATGAGCTGCCAAGCTGTGACAAGTGCTGATCTTTGATGGTGGCCAGCTTAGCTTGGTAGTGTGGGCCAGACAGAATGTCCATGATGCTCCTAGAGGAAGTACAGGAGGCAACAGAATTGGAGCTGAGCATTTCACCTTCAGCCCTAACCCTGCTGCTATGGAGTGGGGCTGGCTATGGAAGAGAGGGAAGGGGCTGTACTAGGTGCTCCATTTCCTTTTGACTGTAGGACAGCATTGAGGAGTGCTGTCTTCATCATGGCCAGCCTGCACCAGAACTGGTCCTGAGCACAGGGGCAGAACAGCACCTCACCCAACAAGTCTGCATTTCTTTTCCTTCCTCTAACCCTGGCGGTGGCTGTGCCCCGGGGAGAGGCTGAGAGGCTGGTGCCAGCGGCAGTGGCTGTGTGCAGGCTGCCTGTGAGCCGTGTTTGTGGGATCGCTTGTCCAAATGCAGCGGTTGGAGGCAGAGCTGGGAATGTCCAGCCACAGAGCAGGAGGATGAGCAGGCTCCATTTACATCCAGCTAGTGAGCAGCCCATCTCCTTGCCCAGTCTGTTCTACTGCTCCCTAGGCCATATGTCTGTGCTTGCTCCCCTTTCCAGCAGCTCTCCCACTTCCCCAGCTGTGGCATGTGCAGTCATACTTTCCGTGGGATGGGTAGAGCTGAGGACAGCCTGGAGCTGCAGTTCTGCTCCTGCCCTGGAGATGGGTCTCTCTGACTACCTGATCTCAGATCCATTTCTGCGGCATAGGCAGGAGCCCCGTGGTGCTCAGCTCGGAGCAGGCTGCCTGTGTGTGCACCGTGCAGTCTCCTTTCCTGGTACCCCGGCTCTCTTGGCAGATACTTGGCTGGCTGTGTGGGTCAGGTGCAGATTTATGCCGAGATGAGTGGCTGTCTCCTGGAGGTGTCTGGTAGAGCACCTAGTAAATGGTGAGCCCCAGAGGAGTAAGGCTTTAATGGTGCAGGCCCTCGATTCTCCCATACTCACATTTGTGGATTGTACTTCATGTCTCATTCCCTCCTTACCCCCTCACCCCTGGCCCCCAAAGGCCTGAAGAATGGAATTGAGGATTGGCTTCATATTCTTCTTACTAGATCCTTGCATTTTCTCACAGACAGGGACAGGCAGTGCAGTTGCACCAAATTTGAGAGGCAGAAAGATGTTGTCCTTGTGCACTGAACCTGCCCAGATTGTCCCTTTCACATTTCCCATATGGAGATGTGTTAATCTCTTACCGTACAGGGGTCCTGCTGCTTGTTTCCCCTCAGTACATTCCCGTGGAGCTGCCCTGGGATGTCTGCACAGGGTGTCATACATGGTCATCCTTTCCTGAGGAATCACTCTCTGCTTGACACAGATTAGCTTTGGTGAGGACTGCTCCTCAGCTCAGCTGCTTCCAGACTGGACTTGCAGCTCCATGACCTTGTTCTAGTGGATCCAATGAGATCTGGATGGAGGAGGAGGAGATAGGCTCTGCCACCCAGCAGGGATTCACAGAACACTGCTCACTGAGAGAATGATGCAGAAGCATTCAGGCTGCAGTAAAAGGCAAAGTTTAATGTGAAGCCTATGCAGGCACTTCCAAAGTGTCTGAGGGCTGCCTTGCTCTGAGTCTGTCTTTGTCCAGTTCTGTCTGTGTCCTTGCAGGTCTCCCAGTGAGTTCTTAGCACTGCAACACTTCAGCACTGTCAAGTTGTGTGCCCCTTGCCCCATATCTGTGTTCTTACTGAGCAATACATGCTCATGGACTAGAAGCAATCTCTTTCTTTTTGCCATGGTCCACTCTTTGGCCTCTCAAAAAGAGTGCTACAGTGCGACAAACTGAATGAGCGTTCACAAAAATATCAGAGAACAATGGCTTGAGAGTGTGTGCCCTTTGTCTCGAGGGGTGAACCATGAGGCAGAGCATCCCTGTGGTCTGAGTGGAGCAGGTTTGAGGGGAGGGAGCTTTTTGGGCAGTGGAGGCTGGCAGCAGTGTGCAGACCTGCATGTATTCCTCTTCCCATGTTGTGTCCCTTGGCAGCCATGCTGCCAGGTGGCTGCTCCGGTGCATCATTAGACACTGTTCCAAATAGCAGAGGCAGGAATGGTTCAGCACTCGCAGGAAAATGAGCTGGTGATGGATAGCTCTGGTGATGCCAAAGCTGTTAAAATATGAACCTCTGATGTACAGCCACGGTTACAGCAAGGGACTCTCATCCTCTCTGTGCTCAACTGCTGCTGTGTAGGGACAGTGCTGGTCTGTGTCCCTTCCCTTCTCTGTTTAGTCTGAAGTAGGCTGTTGTCCCTGAGTAATGGTAACTGTGAGTCTGTAGCTCGTGGTGGCCTGGAATCCCAGCCTAGAGGGAGGGAGATGAGTGATGATCAAAGGTCAGGCAGGCACTCCCCAGTGAGCACACACACTCCTGTCTGAGGCTCTGTCATCCCTGATGCTGCCAGCACTGTAATGGGACCGGCATCCTTGGAGCTGTGTCTCCATTTATGTCCTCCCCAGCAAGGATTGCTGCAAATAGCTTGTTTCCTTGTTTTTCCCTCTTCATGCTCTGTTCACTCTGGTGTCTTGGATGTAGCCAACAATAATGCTGCCTCCTTCATCTCCCTGCTTGGGATTGTGTCAGCAGGGTGGGGGAGGTATTTAGAAGTTAATTAAGTGAAAAAGTAAATCTTATGCCATATCCTTAACTTCCAGGGCCATATTACAGGGGT